TTTGTTTATAGTAAGAGTATATGTACTTGAAATGTTGTAAATAAGATAAATTCTAAATCACCTGTAAATAATGTTTTATTGCTAAGGTCGGTGGACGAGCTGACCTGATGTTAAGTGTTTACGAACACATCAACTACGTAAATGCTACCATCCACTTTGAGACATGATTTTTATTATCAAAAAAGTTATTCCTTCATCGTGGAAATCATTCATGAACTAGAATGTAAAGTAAGTATAAGTAAAAGTATTATACCAGCCTGCGGGATTCGAACACCGGCACAGTTGCATCGCTCGATACGAATACAACGGGCACTCTATCCTTTAGACCACGACGTTATTAATTAAATAAGATAATTTACTTTGAAAATTACAAATTATATTTAGGCTTAAAATCGATTTTTTTTATATAAGTTCAAGGATATGCGCATTCATTGAAATAATATATTCGTGAGCAAACAAACATTTTAAATTCAAAATACATCCATTGAGGCGAGTCGGCTCGTCTGGCCACAGGTTTTTAATATGACCGAACAGGCTAGCCATACATTATACGGTATTAAGCTACCGACCAAACGCATACAGCGAAAAGGCCTTTATAATGCGAACGATCTGGAAAATGAATTCATACTAAAAACGTATGGATTCAATAGAATAAATGTTGACTTGTTTTTTTTTTCAAACATTAATTTTAAGTATTAAGAGAGCCGTAATATGAAAGTTCGTTAGAATTCTGTTTAATTCATAATAAATTATTTGACTTTATTTAGTACTATTAACTTGTGACTTTTATTGCTTAGATGGGTGGACGAGCTTACAGCCCGCCTGGTGTTTAGTGGTTACTGGAGCCCATAGACATCTACGACGTAAATGCGCCACCCACCTGGAGATATCAGTTCTAAGCCGGCTTAGAACGGCTGCCCGTCCTTCAAACCAAAACGCATTACTGCTTCACATCAGAAATAGGCAGGGTGGTGGTACCTACCCGCGTGGACTCATAAGACTGACAAGACTGAAGACATTGCTGAATTAACGCTGGAGCGATTGATGAGAGATAATATTTGATGGCGCAAATTTTTATATAAATACAAAAGAGAGCCTGAATGATGAAATTCAATTTTTTTTATTTGGTAGAAAGAACAGCATAAAAACCTTATTATGACTGCTTAGCGTCGCTCTTGGACGTCAGCAAAGCCAGGGCACAGCCAGGTCGCTGCCTACTGTTGACTACTCTCTACTCTTTGAAGAAAGAAGACCGTTTATTTATTTTAGATATTGTAACAAAATCTTACTAAATGAATTTTAGTTCTTGAAAAACAAGCCAAAAGGCTCGGATTGCTCGAATGACTGTCACCGCAAGCATAATGATTCGACTATTCAGTTACATATTAAATAAATAAATATTTACTGACAATCACGCCACGTTAACTGGTCCCGTGCTAAGTTCGTAAAGAACGTGTGTTACAAGTACCAGATAACGGAAATAAGTATAATATTTTTATTATACACATACATATATTTAATATACACCCATAACCCTGGAAAGACATTTATATTTATCATACAAATATCTTCCCTTGGCGGGATTCGAACCCGCGACCCCCTTGTGTAGTGACCATGTCACTTACCACTACACCAGACGGCCGTTTAAATTGTGCTTGGGTCACACAAATAGCTTTAGGTAACGGTACCCGTTTTTATTACCATATTAAGATTTGTAGGGTGGGATATTCGCTAAAAAAATTAAGCTTGCACTGAAACACAGTTGATAGAACATCTTTTTTGTTTATTATAATGACTTCGGTGAACACAGGTTTTTGATTTGAAATAACAAATTACTGGTGGTAGGACGTCTTGTGAGTCCGCACGGGTGGGTACTACCGCCCTGCATATTTCTACCGTGAAGTAGTACTGCGTTTCGATTTGAAGGGTGGGGCAGTCGCTGTAACTATACTTGAGACCTTAGAACTTACATCTTAGGGTTGGTGGCGCATTTACGTTGTGGATGTCTATGTGCTCTAGTAACCATTTAACACCAGATGACCTGTGAGCTCGTCCACCCACCTAAGCAATAAAAAAAAAATTTTTTTTCTACATGTTTTATTACAAAAAAGGGGCATTTTGTATAATTCTACAAATATATATACCTAGTGTTGGGGTGTTCGGTATCACCTACTAGGGTGGGTGACGTGTTTGAGTAGGCGGCTGACCGCGGCCCGGCTGCAATCAGCTAACCGAATCAACGGTGGAGCAAACACAATTGATAGCCTTCAACGGACCCTTCACGTGGAAAGTACCAAATTTCTGCCGTGCGAACCGGCTTCGATCAGTTCTCTTCCGACCTATTTATTATTTAATAAGTACCTTCTTCAAAAATGGTCACCCTGGAACATCTAAAGTATAAAAGTCAAAATCTGAGCTCTGAGATAAAGAACTATTCTAACTAACTTCAAATAGTTTTACTAATGCTACAGGTTTTTTAAGCTCTAGATGTGTAAGCGAGCTCGTCGTCCCCTTCTCTTAAACTAGCTTTTGCCCGCGACTCCGGCCGCGTGAAATAGTTACTTTGGCATAACACTAAATTTTACCCCCACTTCGTTTACGTAGAAAGTGAAAATATTTTTGAATTATAGAATGTTAAGGAGCTATTTAAACCCCTATTTTGAAACATTATTTAATGGTGCTCTACTTGTATTGGTCTTACCGTGATGTTATTATATAGCCTATAGCCTTACTCAATAAATGGGCTATCTAACACTGAAAGAATTTTTCAAATCGGACCAGTAGTTTCTGAGATTAGCGCGTTCAAACAAACAAACTCTTCAGCTTTATAATATTAAGTTTAAATTACAAGGGCCCGATCTAAGTGATGAAGAAGTCTTCTCTAAGTAAGAAGTAAGAGACAACTCTAAATGAATTCCGCCATCTATATTGAGACATAAGCAGGATCTTTCTTTCAGGTCTTATCAGGTCTTCATAGTATAGTTTGTAATGGCTTTCTTTCCACTGAAATTCATGGAAGTTTGGGAACATTATTGGCTTACAGTTGCCCTATTGCTGTTTTGCCTAATCTTATCTAGAGTACGGATGGGACTGCATGTTTTGAGTACACGTGAGCTATTACCACTGCTTCGATCATTAAGCATAACCCCTTACACAAAGGAAATTTATGTACATATACTATTAAATTTGTTTAATAAATATTTGGGGGCCCGTGACGGGCCAGTACTACCAACTTCTTGGCCCAGTGATCTCGTCACTTTTCAAGGTAAAGCTAAATCACAGGTCTTAAATGTTCCACTAAACAGAATCAAAGCGAAAACTTGCCTCAAGAAGATGTGCCCTGCTTTCTTTTAAGGCTTAAAGGACGCGCGCTGCACTTGTGGTACCTCTCAGTAAAATGTATATAATTCTTAAAATAACCGACTTCATCGCTCAAATTCATGGGTGTTCTTGGTTTCAGCATTTTTTTACCGAATGCTTTATCAACGACGTAAATTAATAAGAAATATATTATGGAGATTGATTTACTGTAATTCATCTGCAATGATAGACACCTACCCTAAACTGTTTTAGTGACAAATGAAGTAGCAGTTATCAGACGCTTGCTACTACTAAAAATACTGAGATCATACATTATTGAGAAATTCTGTCGTACTGTGTAGTTATGTACAATAGTCTCGCAATTGTTAATACAAACTATCCTATTTTACGTTTTTACTGATAGCTACAGCAAAACTGGGTTTTAACTAGTCTATAAAAATGCCATTTCGAATTTAAGTCTCCATTAGAAGTCGTATAGGTACTCAACACATGACTCGATCAAACTACAACAAAAACAACTCTTCGATGTTACGACGTAACGTGAAATAAACATTAACATGTGCAATGCACGTTTACTTGTAACCTGTTCGCTGCATTTTATGAGTATCAGAGAATGATCATACCCGTTCTTTTAGACCGAATGGTAAATAGTCGACGTCGCCCAAAACACGTCATTACGGATCCTCCCGGTCCATTAAAGTAACGTAACGTCTCCGAATTAACCCAAAGACACAGCCCACTGAGCTTCTCACCAGGTCTTCTCAGTGGGTCGCTGTTTCCGATCCTGTGGTACATACTGCGAAGCACTGCTCGTACTACGGCCAGCGTTAGCAACAATCCGGTTTGAGTCCCGTGAGCTCACCTACACGTTAGGCTATCAGCATAGGTAGGAAAAAAAGGGAATGACGGAGCAGTCTCATAAGACGAACTTTCCGGAACGATGACTGATTTTGATTTTTCGTCGTCACGAATAATCAGCTAGAGCAGTGCAGTCGATGTACCAGCAGCCTATTGTCAAAGTTACAAAGTCCCTACAAAAATACATCTACCTGATAAAGTTGGGTACATACATATTCGTTGGTAACATAATTGGACGATTTATTTTACGATTGGTTTAACTTAGGGCGTTTTTTGTCTATATTGTGATTAAATATTCAGAGTTTTTATTAGGAACGGTATGAGGTATAACAAAAATTCAAAAGTAATGTTCGGATAAATTCTTTTATATCGATAATTCGTATTTACATTATAAGTACGATGACTATTTTCAATAATAATTACTGTACATTCTGGTCATAAATAATCATTATTTACATTAAGCTTAATGTCTTTACTACAACGTTTTAAATTTATCAGTCATTTTTAATGATAATGATATTAAATTCCAAATTTAATATTCTCTGTACACAATATACAAAACTACATATACACAGTTATACAATGAAAGCCTGAATACGGTAGCAATAAAACTAATAAAATTAACAAGAATTACACAATTTAAACATTTATTAGCACTCGAATCTATTTCAGCTGAAATTCTCATTTAAATTCTAACAATAAATATTTGCTATGTCTATATTATGACTAAGTATTTACAAGCTCATGGTTGTATCACATTTCAACGTACCCGCTCTGCGAAGCCGGTAACTATACTATGTTTAGCACTAACACTGAAACTGTCAATATGGCCGCCACACAGATTTGTGACTAGGTATTGTTCCGTTAGCGATTTTGGTTGACGTTGGACTGGTGGAAAGTACTCTGGTAGTACGCTGTGAAGTTGATTTCAGTTCATTGCGTGTTCGTGGCCTATCTGAAACTGTTGAATCCGCTGCCTGAACCCTTTTCATTTCTTGAAGCTCTAAATTCGCTGGCCTAGTTGGGTGGAAAGCGGACTTTACAACTTCAATAGGTTCTTCGTCCGATTCATCAGTGATCGTTGCGTCGTGTATCGAATTCGCTTCCGATTTCGAATCTGTTTTCGATCGATCAGGACTAGCGTTGGCCATACTTCTCGGACTACCGCTCTGTCTACTGCTTGTCGGTGATAGTCGTGCACTAGACGTGTCCATTGAAGAAACATTGTTTTGAAATTGTCGTAACGCTTCATAAGGAGTTAGACCGCTCTTTAGAGACAGTTCAGGGGGTAAACTTTTTAGTGCTAGTTCCGCCGGATGCGGTGGGAAAGGTAGAAGACCGTTCGGTGGTAAGAATGCACCGGGTGGAGGTATTAGGCCACCAGGTGGTAAATTCGTAACAGCCGGAGGAAAGGGGAATAAATCAGCACCAGGTATCGTCACGGGTGGCGTAGTAAGCGGCGCTGCTCCACCTGTTAACAAAGAAAGAAAATAGTTTTATTTAGACGCACAAAAAATGCTACATTTTTGACTGAGCTACTTAACTAGCGTCACCCAACAGTAGTCTGATTTGTCGATCTGAAGTTGTACGACGTACCTCAGGGGATAGCCCAAGGCACAGGGGCACTCCGTTAGTTCCCTGAACAAGGGGGTGCATAATCGTACTAAAGATAATGTACAATCTGTAGGCGTTTAAAAACGGCATCATCGAAAGGGATGTTTTTTAGTACGATATCGGGAGGGTGAGGGTGCTGCAGTATTTATTTATCCGAACACGACACACTAGTATTTCTCGGCTTATTCGTCGCAGCTATCCGCACACGGGTGTTTTTCTTTGAAGTTACATCGGTCTCACATAGTATTATTATGGATGCAGAGCACGCGTGGATGTGCTGCAGCGGATACGGGTGTGTTCCACAAAGCCGGCTTGATCGCGATAAGGAAACGCCTATCTTCCCAGTTCGGGGACAAAAGCGGCTTCAAAACGTGAAATTTTCATTAGCAACAGTGTTTCAAAAGTTCTTGGCTAGCTTTGATTCTGTATAGCGTGTAAGAGGAAGCTTGGACATAAAAAGGACACGATAGAGGCGTAGATTGTGCCACAAAGAGCACGGAGGTGGTGCCACGTACGTTTCTCTTTTGCGCTTTTTCTATATGCAGCGTCGGCAGTGCACAGACCACTTTAAAAGGCGGCAAGGGTGCAGGGGTAACTAGGGGGTAATTTCGTGAGGTGGGAGCCAATATCGACGTTGCCCGATTGAGGTGATTTCGATCGCTGTCTTAGAGTCTGTTTTTAAGCTATAATTATTTTTTTGAATGGTAATTAGATTTCGGTGTAATAACAATAATACAATTGAGTCGTTTTAATAAGAACTATAAAGTATGCAATTGGAATTTTAACGTATTATTTTGTGTTAGTAAACTATATGAACACTGCCGTTTCTTTTACTGAATTGTCTTTTAACTAAAACTTGAGATGACTTTCGCTATTCAAATTAGTTTCCATTTAAGTAATTATGCTTAATTTATTAACGTTACAGTCCATGGCAGTATTAAGGAAAAAAACAGCAGGCATTAAACAAAATGTACCATCATTTATGGCAGTAAATTAGAAGCGTTGGCGCGCATGAATATGACAGCGAAAACCCTCCTGTATTCGTTTAATGAAAGTGTCTAGGTGTTTGAGTACATCGTTCCTCGCGTTTCAGCGCCGGAAACAAAAAGTGGCCGGTGGCGCGGTCGCCTACATTGGAATAAAATTGACTCCGCGCTCTTTCGAACGAGAAGGAGGTGCTTTTTTAGCTGTTTTCCGGACGGTCCTCCACCCCGGACTTCAGCGGGTGGTTACACCTCGGTTGGCCGGTGTTGTTTTGTCCAGCTCAAGAGAACCTCCTTTTATTTGAACCGCTTTGCGTTGTTCGGCCTTTAGGGGAGGTACTGCTTCCAGCAACATGTTTTGAGTGTTGTTTGCGAAACAGTGAATTTTTAAATTAGCAAATACCGTATCCGTATCGGGTATATGTTTTTTTTTTTTGAATCCTTATTGTTTTTTATTCTGCAAAGGAGACTGAAACGATTACATACATTTTTGGGCCCGAATGTAACGTGATGAAACTAATATGAATTAATAGATTCAGATTTATCAGTACCTTGCTGAAAATTATAAAATTTTTCTCAATCTGAGAGCCGAGTTAATCAAGATTTAGTAAAAGTTAGGTTATGTTACAATATCTTTAAAAGAGCTGAATAATAAATAACTTATTTAAGCATAAGTAAATGTTTATTATATCCATTGGATAATCTTTTAAATGTCATATTATGAATGAATATCAATGGTATATATCAGGTATGGAATATGGAATTGCTATCCCACAATTCACACAGCGATCCATAATTTCAACAGTATCCAATGCAACAATTTCAAGTCAAACGTGTGAGCGATCTTCGGTGTCCAGTGTAGAAGCAATTGTCGTACAAGGCTGGCAGAGTTTGAATCCGTAATAATAAAGCAGTGATCGTTGAAAATATAAAAACAGCCCGATAAATACACACTCAAAATGCGTCGAAGATACAAAACGAGTAGAGCAGAAAAAACCAACAAGCGCCAAAAAATAATTGTATAATCTATGAACAAATGTCATGTCAGCTTACTGTCAAAGCTGTCATCAAAAATACAACCGATTTTAATCGATTTGAAATCGATAATCATATTACTTTGCTAAGTAATAATAGACTTTTCTTCATTTATGTATATAATCGCAATTAAATCCGGCGCATACCGCACTTGTATACAACAAGTATAAATCGCTCTTTTAATTACTTTGCATTAATTACCTAGTGCAATGTTTTTCTTTTTATAATCCTGTAATCGATTAATTAAATCGATCACACCGTTATACCGACAAAAACTAACTTTCTCATTTTTCTCCGGTCCCAGAAAGAGGATTGAGGTGATTTTTTATATTCTTATATAAAAAAATATGACAAATTTTTTAGACTACATTCCAAGTTATTACATTTTTGGCCCACGATTTTCCGTCTCCTTTAGAACTTTATACGATTTTTTTAAATTTCTAATTTGGTTCAGAGAAAATGAAAACTAACCTTTGATAAGCGTGGAAGGCTCTCGCATTTGTGGGGGCCTGAAGTAGTCGGCCCAGGCGTAGTTGAGATACGCCGCATCTAACCATCCGGGATTCAGAATGAATGGACTGAACGGTCCTGGGTGTCCGTAGCCATAATCTAGAACAAATAAAAATGTGGTCAGTGGATTACAAATATTTCGGTACGTTGATTCGAAGAGTCAGCTCTGTGATTTCAAACTGGTGGTAGGACTTCTTGTGAGTCCGCACGGGTAGGTAACACCAACCCGCCTATTGCTACCGTGAACCAGTAATGCGTTTCGGTTTGAAAGGTGGGGCAGCCGTCGTAACTATACTGAGACCTTAGAACTCATATCTCAAGGTGGGTGGCGGCATTTAAGTTGTAGATGTCTATGTGCTTCAGTAACCACTTAACACCAGGTGCCCACCTGGTGTTAAGTGAGCTCGTCTAACCCTCTAAGCAAAAAAGGGTGCGTGTACTTATGTACACGCGTAAGAAGTTATACTTTATTTTTATTAAATTTCTTTCTTTCTTTTTTATTTAAATTTTAATCACTTTGAAAAATATCGATTACACAACATCTTCAAACACGCATATTGGACATCCCTTTTCTTGACATCGTATAAATTCGGTAGTTCTCGGTACGGTTCGGAAAGTTCACCTGCGGCTATATTCAGACTCGCCAAGTTATGTCGGTCGTATTGTAATGAGCGATTTAGTGGGCAACTTCATTCTGTTAATTTTGTGTCACGGTGCGCGCGCATCGTAAAATTTCACTCTCATCAATTTTTCATAACGCGCCTAAAGAAGTATAACTTCATTAAAAAAATATTCGTTCTCCTCGTACTATTCTCGTAACTATTTCGTCACTCGTCCTTAATTTTATCACTTACTGACTTTATTTTTCTAAATATGCATTTATAGTGTGCTGACTATGAGCTTCAGCAATTGTTTTCAACGATCCCTGCATCCTCTTATTATGACGATGAAAGTTAAGTCAGCTTACTATGAGATTTCATTAGGATACTGTTCGTTCTTTCTGCCTGTCTAGAAAAATCTATAATTTTTAATTGCCCGTTTGTTTTCTATTGCTGCCCGTGTAGGCAGACGAGCATACGGCCCACCCACGGGTGAGTGGTTACCGTCGCCCATGAACTTCGGTAATGCCAGGGGCATAGCCAAGCCGCTGCCTATCGTCGAAGTCGATAGTTTTTATTTTTTTATTTTACCACATTTATCACCCTTCTTAAAATTTAAGGAACAATAAACGTTGGTCGCCATTGATACAGCGAACTGTAATGTATACGAAACATCGAAAATAATATGCAAAGAGATGATAAACCATTAAAGTTAATGTAAATGTAGTTTTTAACTGCATGCAAAGAAAATTCACTTTAACTGTTCCGATATTTATTGAATTTTTGGTGGACTATTCCAGGTTTAGAAACAGTGCTATGGTTTTACTCGTAGTTAAATGAAAGCAATTTGTATCCGTGTATAGGTATCTGGGCGTGTGTGAATGGTTTGATAATATTTATTTCACTATATTTAAACATTCTTTTGCGGATTCACACCTTTGTTTTATTTAAAAAAACAAATATTGATGAAGTCGGCTTACCGTGAAACCGATTTTTACTTCTAATCCGCTCAGAACGTTCAGGTTATATAGGTAATTCTTTATTTTATTGCGCATACGTAAATAAATTTAAGATTTAAAAAAACTTTTAAAAATGTTTTTTTCTTTTCTAATGTGTGTGTTGTACGTGTTCCGTATGTATGGAGAGTGATGTATTTTTTTTAAATGATTTTAAAGTTAAATGGTAAATACCTAAATATCAAGTTTGATCTGCCTTTTAACATTTTATTTACATATGATTTTTCCTTTTAGAATTAGCTGGAACTTTATACAATTGTATTATTTTATATCTCTTTAAATAATGATTATTGCAGTGTTTATAGACAAAAACAAAAAAATATTACTTGAGACGATAGAATTGATTTAAATTGATTGATTGACAATTTGATTAACGTAAGGTATTTTATTTAGATAGTAGGTATATCATTTCTACTATATGTTTTAAATATTAATTCCAAAAGAAATCTTTAAGATTGTTTAATAATCAGCAGAGAGACGCCCAGATGTAACAATAGGTCTCTGGTATAGCGGTATCCGTGTGTGCGAATCGTTTTGTATGTAGTGATTGACATGTCGAGGTCACCGGTCTTAAGCCACGTCCGCAAGCACTAAAGTCACAAAGGCTGGCCGTAAAGGCGGCGACACACGGGCCGCCGTCGACTATAACAAGGGTTCTGTATACAAAACGAGTCGGTTTACTACTGCAGTTAGCCGGCTCCTCTGTGCCATACGTTTTTACGACCCTAAGCCGTCACGTGGCCTTTCGCCTATAGCGAAACGTTTTTTTATTTGTTTAATCGATAGCCTAGTAAAGACGCGTACTGCGTTTATTTTCGGTGCTTACTGTGTGTGTGTGTGTTTTTTTAATCCAATCACGAGTCTTTCAATCGACTCGATCAGGTGTGCAGACAATTTTATTACATTATTAAACTGTTTACGAGCACTTTATCTACTTCGTTTTGAACTTTGTGTACATGATACATCTAGGTGACGTTTTATCTATAGTCTGTTGTTGTTTTTGATCGTTTCCAGCCTAATTTTAGCGAGTCGTTAAACTTTGATTGGCCCATTTTCTTTTGACGTGACAACGTCTTATAATTCGATGGAGCCGGCTGCACGCACGAAAAAACATGACTCATGCGGCGTTACCTCGCTCTGAGGCGTTCCATTTAAGGCTTGAAGTGCAAGCGAGAGCGCGCAACGAGCGACAAAGAAGCACAATCGGCCTTCGCGTTCGGCAGCGTCCGACATCTGTCTCTCTCCTACTTGAGTGAGCGATGAATCCACGTGGACAGCTGCTATACAATTATACATTTACATGTTTTCGTCAAGTATGAAGTTAAGTGAAAAGTGAATGTGGTGTCAATTGTTTATAGCAACGATAATAATTGCGTTAATTGAAAAATGACACCATGCCATCAGTATTTTCTTATGACGTTGTCACTTTCAACTATCGTCAGTAAGCCGACTTTAGAGACAACCGATTTTTTTTCGTTGCGAGTTAGTGTTAAGCAAAACAATTTGTATATGTGAACCGTTACCCCTTTCGGTGGAGGGATTAGCGAGTGACTCGTGAGAGCGTTACCCTAATCGCGGCTGTTTTAAATTAAGAACGTGATGGATGGGCCGTCGCGCTGTCACCCGACAATCCGACTGAAGAACGCTCCGGCTTCATGGAACAATAATAAGTTAAATGCTGAACTCGGAAACGGGCCGCTCCATTTGTTAATGCCAGTATTCAATTAAATTCTGTTCTCGACCCTTAACACACACGGAGCACGGAATTATTAACGGGGCAAACATTTCTAATGCACGAGTCAATGAACTTATATTTGAATAATACAAGACCGAAAAAGCCATTTCACGTATTCAAGTTTAATTTTATTTATTTATACCGCTAAACGTGTTTGCTAACGTGAGAAATCTTAATATTTTCGTTAAAATATGTCATAAATATATGCCATTACAAACGGGGAGCTATTCGAGAGACCGGTGGTGGTGGTAGGACCTCTTGTGAGTCCGCGCGGGTAGGTACCACCACCCTGCCTATTTCTACCGTGAAGCAGTGGTGCGTTTCGGTTTGAAGGGTGGGGCAGCCGTTATAACTATACTTGAGACCTTAGAACTTATATCTCAAGGTGGGTGGCGCATTTACGTCGTAGATGTCTATAGGCTCCAGCAACCACTTAACACCAGGTGGGCTGTCATCTCGTCCACCCATCAAAGCAATAAAAAAGTAAAACAAAGTCCGTCAGGAAAACACTTGGAGTCGATAAAACTATTTTCGTAACAGTTAATCTCTGTCGACCTAAAATTAAGAATGTGGCGGGAATCAAAAGGCATCGCGGCCGATTTTGTACCGCTGTAACGATAAACGAACTAAGATACGACGCATAAGTGTCAGAATGAGCATTAAATAACTAGAATGAGATGTGACGCGGGCCGTATGTCACTCGTAAATTAATATAGAGGCGACGAGCGCGTTAAATAAATGGAATCAGAGTTATAGCTCATAATTTCGACGGCGTCGTCTACATCCAATGAACGTTTCATTGTTTATATTGTCGATTTGTGTCTTGGTTCACATCGGCGGTTTCATAAAGTATTATTCCACTGGGATCACCCATCAAACATATTTGATTTTGTAATAACAAACGTATTCAAGGATCTTTTTATCTATACTTTTAATATTATAAAGCTGAAGAGTTTGTTTGTTTGCACGCGCTAATCTCAGGAACTACTGGTCCGATTTGAAAAATTCTTTCAGTGTTATATAGCCCATTTATCGAGGAAGGCTATAGTCTATATAGCATCACGCTAAGACCAATAAAAGCGGAGCACCAATAAAGAATGTTTAAAAATTGGGGTTTTTTTCCCTTTGAGAGCTTCCGCTGCGTGCGCTGCAGAAACGATTAAAGTTTCCTAAAATAATGTATGACAGAATTGTTCGCCTTTAAAAGATCTAAAAAAAAGTCCGCGACAGCATATGTCTATATGTTAAGGTTGGCTCATTAAAACGTTTTTTATGCTAACCAAATTTGTTCTAAAATAAAGCATTATTTGTAAACTATTCCACGCGGACGAAGCGGGAAAAAGCTAGTGATAATACCTATATAATCTGATAGTAAGATTAGGTGAAAAGTTGGCAACTTGAATGTACCTTAACACGCGCCAGCTTGGTAGTTATTAGGGTCGCTGGGTGTGATGCGGTATTTTAGCAGCTAGAAGAGACATAAAATTCATAATTTAAAGGCAAAGGGGTAAATGCGGGGCGCGGGTCGGCGGGAGATCAAACGGGACTTTACGACGTGGGCCCGAGATTGTTTACATCTGTTACGCGGCCGCCGCACCATCAAACTTGGTAACCACTGGAACTGCAAGTGCCACATATTGAATACACCAATTGTTTCATACATAGCCTTTCCTTAGAATATCCTTAAAAATTTAACACACGACAATGTATCAGTCGATTTGCTAAATAAATATTTTTCGGCTTTCAATAAAGTTAATTTTTAAGATTTTACTTCGAAACTTATTCGAGCTTTTCAAATACACAATAAAATCGTAATGAAACGAAAATATCTTTTGTTTAACCACGTCAAAGTCTGAAGCGATTCAGTGAGTTTTATAACTGACTGAATCCAATTTTTTTACTCACTACAAGTTAATTAGTGCGCCGTAACGCCGCCATTAAGCTTGTGCGCCATTGATCGTTTTACTAACTCGAAACCTTTGATGTTTACGGCGTGAGGATGTTAGTTTTTCCGCATACTGTCTTTTTATTATTGGCCGAAGTTTGGGCGCAACCGTTTGTTTACACATACGGTCCCAGTGAACGATGTAACGTTTAAAATAGACGTGCGGTGTCAAAACGTTATGATTCTATTTTATTTGTTGATAGCTCCGAATGATTTAGAGGAATGTACAATCAAATGAGTTTATTGTTGTGGAATTGTTTATATATCACTAGCGGACCCGGCGAACTTTGTTCCGCCACACGGTTTGTTTCACACACATCAACCGGTCAACTTCAAAATTCTACTATAATTACCCATAGAATATATTTATTACGTTTAGCTGTCAGTTGCGTTTTGTTATTCCATATCAGTTGCGTTTTGTCATACCACGTTTTATGTCACGTCCCATGGGAATGTGATAAAAAGTATCCTATGTCCTTCTCTTGGTTCTAAGCTACCTCTTCAGCAATTTTTAGCCAAATCAGTTCAGCCGTTCTTGAGTTATAAATAGTGTAACTAACACGACTTTCTTTTATATAGGTATATATATAGATTTATATTCATCGCCGATTGTTTCATTTGATTGTTGCTTCAGCTGAAAATAATTCGCTACGTGATTGCTGATTGTAAATCACAGTTAGTCACTAGCTGCGTTACGAGCAAAATTGGTTTGAATTGTTTTGCCGCGATTACTGGGTCATTCTAAATAAAGCAGTTTTCCCCCTTCAGTAACGTGCTCGATGCGTGTTCCTTAAAAGCAAGTTTGCGTTGTAAACACCAATAACCATTTGTAAGGCCGAAGTCAAAACAAAACGCTCACTTAAGCGTTAATTCCTTCGTCTCATAAAAGCAGACAACAATCGTGGTTATTTTAGGAAGGGAAACGTCTCGGCCGTGTTCTTGCTGTAGAAAGATTAAACTGAGTACGTAATTAATGTCTTCGTGATTGAATGTATCTCACGTACGTTCGCGTGCAATTGGCCAGCTGTTCGGATGATTTTTAGATTTTACTGCCGTTTCGCACTGTAGCTATTGTGCCGTTAGTATTCTGAAGATTTCTTGCTGGATGTCTTGTTATTCTCTTCAATGAAACGATTTGGCTCGTATTTACAGGTTTATTAAAAGATAAAAACTGAAGAACAAATAATAATGAAGTGCAATATTGTAGTAGATAATGTAATCGTTAAAGATGTATATGCGTTCGCGATCGGTCGATGAAGTGAAGCTCGGTGGTGGGCGTGAATAAAAACTTGTTTGGGGATTTAGAGATCCTTAACAATGATGGTATTATTTGTTCGGTCATGGGTATGTTGTGAACTCGTCTAAGTAAGTGACGATTTCTATTCTATTAAGATCTTTCATACTTGAAGATGGGCGAGCGTATATTTAGCGGGAACTTAATTTTATAGGCTATAATATTATGCCTATTATTTGCGATTTTTATTGTTATAGGCAAACGGAATCAGGACTTATCTAGTGTTAAATGGTTCGTTTTTTTTTCGGCCGGAGCCCTAACCTCCTGCGAGGTCCCCGTGCCTAGGGGGTGTGCGAGGGATATGTGGGACTGGACGGTCCCCAGATGTTTGGAGCGGACATCGGGCCCAAGGGTATGGACTGGTTGGTTCCACCTTAAGACACAGGGTCCAGAGCGCAACAACAACAAGCAGTGTAAAACACTATCCAAGTTACAGCAGGCTAACAAGTATCCACACCATCAGTGCTAACTACTGGTGGTAGGACCTCTTATGAGTCCGCACGGATAGGTACCGCCACCCTGCCTATTTCTGCCGTGAAGCAGTAATGCGTTTCGGTTTGAAGGGTGGAGCAGCCGTTGTAACTATACTGAGACCTTAGAACTTATACTTCAGGGCGGGTGGCCATTTAGATTGTAGATGTCTATGGGCTCCGGTAATCACTTAACACCAGGTGGGCTGTGAGCTCGTCCATCCATCTAAGTAATAAAAATAAACATTTCAGATTTATTTTAATCGTATGCTCAACAAGCGCCAGTGCGAACGTATCTGTATTTAGACTTCAGTACATCGATGTCAAGTGTTTTAGGATTGTTTTAAACGCGTGAAAACGAAAATAAAACTAGTTTGAATGTGGTCGAATGCCGCGGCGCCGCAAAACCGACCTCGGACCGTGGACTGGCGCCCGGCCAGAGTGAAACGTCACATCACTTTGACACGATTATAAGATATATATATATTTTTTTTGTGTTATTTATGTAAGCGGCACCGATAAATTTCAATGTTAATTAAACAATGAAATGATTGATGTTAGAAAAATTGCAATATTGTTTTTTTTTTTTTTTTTTCGAAACTTATTAGCTTCGGATTGTTATCGTTTATCTATGGAATGATTTTTGCTTTTAGAAAAATTTTCTGTTACAAATAAAATATTCGGATAGTTCAATAGAATGTACCTTTTGGTATTCAAATACAGATTATCCTGTGTTTTCTAGTGTTTTCACGTAGTTTTTTCCGCGTAGATCTTACTTACATTAAGCGTGTTTTTTTCTTTATTTCTAATTGTTCGAATACTCTATAGCTTACACGGGGTTCAATATCAAAATCATAGATTAACTTGGTGATTACTTTTTTTTTTTATTTATGTATTTGTAGATTTATAAATCGTGATCTATGCGTTCCCGCGTTTTTTATAACCAATGTAGTTGTAAATACATACGAGTTTAATTGCGAATATAATCTGACGGATCATCGGTTGAACCAACGGGTGTGTTTAGAAGTATAGTCAAAACTAAATTAATCTTTATTTTTTGCGACTAATGGTTAATCTCCAGTAGTGACATTTTGAGAAAAGGAGGGTTTTTTTTTAATTTACTGTCAAAGAATTTACATTCCACCGTTTTATGGCTACTGTTTTTGAAAGAATATTTTGTTAAAAAACTTTTGAATAACATACCATGGAATGTGTTAGGCAAGAAAAATGTGTTTCTATAATAGTATAGTAGTAAGTATACTTCCTGTCCATGTAACAAACTGATAATAAATTTCAAAATTGAATTTGTTAATTTTCAACTAAAATGTATTAGTCTTTTTGTTTAGTAACTATTGAGTTATTTTATTATTAATAAATGTTAAGAGTGTGTTCGGTTGTTATTGAAAAAATATGGAAAATAGACTCAGCCGAACTACTATTTTTTTTTTTAATTGCTTAGATGTGTGGACGAGCTCAGAGCCCACCTGGTGTTAAGTGGTTACTGGGGCCCATAGACATCTACAACGTAAATGCGCCACTCACCTTGAGATATAAGTTCTAAGGTCTCAGTATAGTTACAACGGCTAGCCCACCCTTCAAACCGAAACGCATTGCTGCTTCACGGCAGAAATAGGCGGGGTGGTGGTACCTACCCGTGCGAAATCACAAGAGGTCCTACCACCAGTAAAACACTTCCTCATCATATTCTACTGTGGTAGTAGAAATATACTTAAATTACTTTTCTAGATTTTAATCTTCGAACATTAGCAGAAAGTAAGCTAGGATATTCTTATTGTCTATTGTCTAATTCTGTTGCATATTTCGATCGAAAAGCCGTCATTGCAATCCAATTGAGACCTTGACCTAATTGCTCAAGGTGAGCAATAGTATCCACCTTATGACGCCTAAGTTACGATAGCCTCGTAACATCAAATAAATCGCAAACCTACCAGTCTCAACTGCTAAATAAATAGATTGTCGCAAAATCTTTTGAGTAAGGTTTAGAATTTTTAAATTTAGTACACAGACACTAAATCATTTATTAGCAACGGCATTTTATAAGTATCTATCTAATTGCCTCGGAAACCACAGTATTGATATCTAGTATACAGTCGTATGTAGTGTATAGTATATAGTGTTATAATCAATTAATTATGGATTTAATATTTGCCCGTTGATCGTTGTACAGTACTTATAAAGTTATATATTTTATATAGTTTTTTTCGTACACACTTTTAAATATATTATTAATTGTAATATTCATTTATATCTTTTTTTTTGCTTAAAAGTGTGTACGAGCTTACGTTTAGTTTGATGATAAGTGGTTATCGGAGCCCATAGAAATCTCTACGGGATTGCTGGCACTCACTTTGACATATTAAGTTGAAGTCTTAATTGTATAACGGTTGTTCTGAGCTTCACGGCAGAAATAGACAAAGTTTGGGGGTACATATATACACACAAAATATATGAAACATTACCGATATAGTAACTTACTTTGTTTTGTTCTCGGCTCCCTTGGTCCATCGACCGTTACTTTGATTGCTTTGGTGTAGGTGGCGACTTGTGAAGGAAATGAGCTGATGGTGATGGTGAGGGTGAAGGACTTGCCTCGTCCGCTCCGACCCACAAACCTCAGGTCGTTGAACTTTGCCACTTGGTTCTTCATCACCGCGGTACAGTTCCTGAGTTCGGCCATCACGTTCTCATCGTTTCCAGCTTTTATCGTAACTAGAGTGCCGTCTTGAACGTCATCTAATGCCACCACTTTAAAAGCCAACGGTAATGATTTATTCGACCTCCAATGGCCAGGTAACGCAGAGCACAAGACAGCCGGAGAACCAGTCTGTACTAACTCCCCGTGACTCTGCCGGTAGTACTCGTGGATATGAGCGTAAACGTCTGCCATCCTGACGGCAGGACTCGCGTGCGGGAGGTGCATCGACTTCAAACTACCCCCGAACACTTCTCTGACACGCCACTGAGGTCTGAACACTTCGATTAAAGTTTTCAAAACACGCGACCGAAGTTCGAACTCGCGGCGACCGTTGCGTGCGCGGGGAGCACTCGGAAAAGTTGTGTAAAGTGCGAGCGCGAGACGTCGTGTGAGCTGCGAGTCACCGTCTACAGTCTACACCACTTGTTGGGCGCGGACGGCAAGACGCCGGGCGGGGGACTCGGAAAAATAAACGGGCGGTCGCGCGACCGCAAGCCGAAGACTCACGACGCGCTCCGAAGTAGCGGCCAAGGGACGCGTGCCGCGGGAACTCGGTTTCGACTGATGACTGTGATACGACGCGACTTTTTCCGATGGTCAATATTTTGCGTTCGCGCGGTCGCCGCCCCCACCCGGGTGGCGGCCCCTACGTCTCGTAAAAAGCGGGAAGGAGACGAAGGGTGCGGGTGATGCGGTCCCGCGGCGGGAACGAGCGGGACGGCCGCGGTTGATCTCTGCGTTTTTATAAAAATTCTCGGTCGAGCGGGACGCCGTCGCACGTCGCCCGCCTGCGAGAGAGGGATGGGTGGATTTTTTTGAATCAACGCGGTGACGTATCGTAAAGCGACGGTAATTAGGCCGCGGGGCGGCGGGAAACCGCGACCGGTGCGAAAACCTATCAACGAGCTCATGAAAAATTATGATTTTCATGTTTTGAGTCGACAAAAGTATTGGAGAGGTGCCGCACTCATGGGGAGGCACTTCATTTTCATTGAAGCACGTGAAGAATTTCAATGGCACGGCTATCCAACGACACCCGTCAAATTTTTTGAGTTGGTTAATTATGTCTGCATCGCCAAATTATACGACAGAATTTATAGAATTACTCATCATTATTTATAAAAAAAAAACATGCTACTCAAATATGCATATATGAGATAAACAGGCTTAATTTTATGTCCTAGAAAACGAAATAAAAAACACACCATTCTGGATATGATTACTTATAAATAATTTAGATTTATGTGATTTGTATATTATTAATATTTAATTTGACCAACTCTATTGTCTACCCGATGCTTGATTGCAAATTAGTTATTGAGATTCTAAGTCAAGTTTTCAACCGAAAAGCTACGTGTTCTCAATTACGAAAATTCGTATTTCGGCTCCAATCAAAAATAAGGAGCTAAACAAAGAGTGATAGATTGAGAAAGCCACGTCCGCGTGTGGTTAGCCGCGAGTTGGCGTGCGAAGGAGTCAGTGCGCTGTGCGAACAGAACAGCCGGAGTATGGGGCGGGGCGACAGGCGGTGCGAGCTCGCCAACTTTCCAAACAGTTTCCCGCGCTTTTCACGCGCGGCATGTCTTACGTCACGCGTTCGAATTTCGAACTTGTTTAAATTTTGATAATAAAACTTTTTTGAGAACATAGGTAATTGTTTTTTTATTTTAGTTCTTCGTGTTATCTATGTAATTAAAGTATATTCATGATGTAAATGTATTATAAAGAGTTTGTAGTTCGAATCAAAATGTGAATTTTGAGAATTCACGCTCTACCTATATGTTACTAGTAAACCTTTTCAGTGCTAATTATAATCATTCCAAAAGAGAATTTACGACTTCAAGGCCAAAAATGAAACTTGTAATTGAATATGCAATTTCGAAAAGGGCACATGTCGCATATTTTGTCAAATACGTTTTTTCATATAGACATGTAGTTTTGAGGCTTACCTACACCCATTTTATAATAATTTTAGTAATTTTCAATTGCTAATTAATACTAAAACTATATCTCAAAAGTTAATATTTTAAATTTTACACTGCTTTAGAAAATAATCAGTTTTTTTCATTTCCTGAACATTTTACATTTTCAGAGATGTGCCCTTTTCGAAATCGCATATTCAAATAGGTTAGATAGATACTTGGACATGATAAAGTACGTACTTTATCTGATGTATAAATAAGCGAATATGTGCTACGTTTCTTTTACACACAACAGTCTTGATCCATGTACCTATATATTTACAGCATAATGAGATAAGAACGGAAACTTTTAAAAAAATGGTACTGTTACCGTAACTAGTAATAGGATAATGATAAGAATTTGTTAAACATCATGTACGTAAAATGAATTTGACTTCACATTCCAAATTTAAAGTTTTATTTAATATAGATACATAATTTTTGAATTGTTATTTTATTTTATCGAAAATAGTAAGTATTGTTTTGCACTATTATTGTGAAAATTTTTACTGCACCGAATCCTTTCCTTTGTTCTTTGTTTTATTATTTAGACGTTGCCGGGCTGTATAGCTATTAGCAAATAACCATTTGCGAATATGCCCTTTTCTGCGGCCGTATCGTAAAATTTACTAGCCGAGCTAATAAAACTAGGTAAAGTTTTTGATTTGACCTTGGAAACCGCAATATCGTTTCGGATTAATTTTTAAACGAATTTGAAGCTTATGTACATTGCACATAAAGTAAGTCCTATTGAAGTAGTCGTGGTTCAGAGGATTTCTACTACATACTTTGCACATTAACCAATTTTTAAGCCTATCTTTTATATGCAGTTAAATTTTGAAATCGTCAAAAGGGTGCGACAAAATAGTTTGGGAATCGCTGGTCTATATTTCGAGATTACAAGAGTGCGTTCGGGATATTTGACTAAAGTATTGCATGAGTCTTTGAACCAAATGTGTGAGCCCACTGAGTTTCACTCTGGATCTTCTCAGGGATTCTCCGAAACACTGCTCTTGCTAGGGCTAGTGTTAGCCAATTCTTTCCGATTGAGTCCGTGATCTGCCCGTCTGGGTGTAATTGAAATAGCCCAACAGTTTCTAAAAAATTAGAAAGTTATCGCAAGCAATAAAGCCGGCGTTCTCACAGCCATCCGTCATAGAATCTCACTCAATTACTGCAATAAAAATAATATTGTAGGCAAACACGGTATTCTTTGACAATTCTCTGGTCGCTACCGAGCGGTTTTGTGCAAGCCGTCATCACAATGCATCACTCACAATAACCGAGCATTTCTTAGGACGTACCTTTTATTTTGGCCCCAAACACACTGGCATTGGGGTATTGTGGACTCTTTTGTCAGCCATTTACCGACTCTCCGGCTTACGTGAAGGGGGATGTCGCAAAAAATTTAGGCTTCGATCCGGTGAATACAGATATTGACACCAAACTATTCATACGTTTTTAAGAATTATTTCCGTGAAGATAAGTTAATTAGGCTACGTTATAGTTGTTAATGATTGTTACCTCCGCTTTTGAAATGAGATTAGTGATGTCCGAAGAAATGATGAAAAGGATATTATGTCGCAATGAGATAATACAAAATAAACGAGAGAGATGATTCGAAATAAATCTGAAAATTTATCATTAAGTCAATAATTATCATTAAATACTTAAAAAATTTTTTATGATTGATAGCGCACTTGTGGTTTGCATGTCTTTCCATTTTCACAAGGACAGGTGGGCGAGCAAGGGCTCAGCGAAGGGCTCAGAAGGGGCGAGATTTGCTAACAGCTACCCGAACACCTTCAAGGGAGACCTAAAAACTCAAGAGTAGCTGCTTCGTTGCAGTGGATACACTGCTGGATAAGAGGATATGCTGTCCCTACTTCATATAATATGGGACTTATCCCAAGAAGAAGGACAAGAAATGACTAGCGCTGACCAGACCACCAAAAAAAGTTTAGTCAACGCCAATAAAGCTTCGAGAAAAAAGCAAGTATAAAATTACTAATAAAACTCGGTAACACTTTGCTGTGATTTTCGCGAAATATCTAAAATAACTTAAGTATGTATTTATTGTCCTTTAAACGCACCACCTCTGACCTATAGTGATATTGTGCCAGAAAAATCCATTTAGTTCCTTCAACTGTCATAATAAGAAATAATTAACCTATAGAAAGTCAAATGAAAACACAAAATTTTAATTTTAACAATTAGCAATACAGTTGGACCTAATATAGATCGTCTTACTTGGATATTAGTAACAGCACCAAGCTACTAGAAGCCACAAGTAAATAGCTTCCATCGACACTGGTGGTAGGACCACTTGTGAGTCCGCACGGGTAGGTACCACCACCCTGCCTATTTCTGCCGTGAAGTAGTAATACGTTTCGGTTTGAAGGGTGGGGCAGCCATTATAACTATACTTGAGACTTTAGAACTTATATCTGAAGGTGGGTGGCGCATTTGCGTCGTAGATGTCTATGGGCTCCAGTAACCACTTAACACCAGGTGGGCTGTGAGCTCGTCCACCCATCTAAGCAATAAAAAAAACCCAGACTAAAATTCAATATTTCTTTATTATCCTGTAGGTAGGCGAAGCATACGGTTAATCGTATCGTGGACGGTTACCGCTGCTCATGGACCAAACCGTTTTCTACTAATTAAATTACTAATCATACGTCGACCAAAAATTCTAATTGAATGGGCTTAAATCGCACACGCTTTATCGTAGCGTTTCTTTAGTAATACGTAATTATTGTATTGCGGAAGCATTTATATGTGTAGTAGGGTGAAGTGCAACAAACGAAATGTGATAGGATAATTGCGGCCAAATGTCGGCTCAGGACGGTTGACTGCTTAAACGGTCCTTGGTTTGATCGATTTTATTAGACATACGAATTTTAAGTAGCAATGGTGTTGGGGCGATTCTTAGCTCACGTGGATAGGTTTTTATTTTTTTATTGCCCTTGTAGACAGACGAGCATACGGCCCAGTGAGTGGTTACCGTCGCTCATGGACTTCAGGAATGCCAGGGGCAGAGCCAAGCCGCTGCCTACCGCTGAAGTACTGCCATTATGTGTACTACTGGTGTGAATTATGAAACAGCTATGTATTCCGGCTTGAATTGTGGAGGAGATGTCATGCAATTGAGACTTTGATTTCATGACTCGGGATGTGTGGCAAGAGGCGTGTTTATCTTCGCGATGACCAAGAGCTCCGATAAACTCAAGAGCAGCTAGTACCAAAAAAAGTGGTCTTTAAATTCTATTTTTTTAATTGGCTGCCCGTGGCCGGTGTGAAGGGGGTACCGGAGCCCATAGACTTCAACAATGTTAATACC